ATCGAGACCATCCTGGTCAACATGGTGAAACCCCGTCTCTACTAAAGGTGCAAAAAAATTAGCTGGGCATGGTGGCGCGTGCCTGTAATCCCAGCTACTCCGGAGGCTGAGGCAGGAGAATTGCCTGAACCCAGGAGGCGGAGGTTGCGGTGAGCCGAGATCGCGCCATTGCACTCCAGCCTGGGTAACAAGAGCGAAACTCCGTCTCAAAAAAAAAAAAAAAAAAAAAAAAAGGTTAATCTTACCTCAATTGAACCTTAGACTGAAGAAAAAGAAAAAAAGAAAGAAATGAAGACTATTAAAGGTTAATCTGTGATTGTCATGAAAAGGAAAAAAAGACTGAGTTTCGCTTTTGTCGTCTAGCAGGCAGTCCAATGGCGTCATCTAGGTTCACTGAAACCTCTGTCTCCCAGGTTCAAGTGGTTCTCCTGCCTCAGTCTCTTGAGTAGCTGAGATTACAGGCATGCGCCACCATACCCGGATAATTATTTTATATTTTTGGTAGAGACGTGGTTTCACCATGTTGGCCAGGCTAGTCTCCCAACTCCTGACCTCAAGTGAGCCACCTGCTTCAGCTTCCCCAAGTGCTGGAATTACAGGCATGAGCCACCACGCCTGGCCATGATTGCTTAAGTAACTGTTTAAATAAATTGTTCAGCAGGGCGCAGTGGCTCAAGCCTGTAATCCCAGCACTTTGGGAGGCTGAGGCGGGTGGATCACGAGGTCAAGAGATCGAGACCATCCTGGTCAACAAGGTGAAACCCCATCTCTACTAAAAATACAAAACATTAGCTGGGCATGGTGGCACGTGCCTGTAGTCCCAGCTACTCAGAAGGCTGAGGCAGGAGAATTGCGTGAACCCAGAAGGTAGAGGTTGCGGTGAACCGAGATCGCACCATTGCACTCCAGCCTGGGTAACAAGAGCGAAACTCCGTCTCAAAAAATAAATAAATAAATAAATAAATAGTTAAAATAGTTTATTATTCTGATTGATATTTTTCATGAGAAATTATAACAGTTAAGCTACTATAATTAATATATTATAAAGGTTCATAATATAGTCACAATAATTGCATTAGTCAGTTCTCACAGTAAGGCATGGGCCACCATGCCTAATTTTTGTATTTCGGGTTTTTTTTGGAGACAAGAGTCTTACTCTGTCACCCAGGCTAGAGTGCAGTGGCGCGATCTTGGCTCACCACAACCTCCACCTCCCAGGTTCAAGCAATTCTCCTGCCTCAGCTTCTGAAGTAGCTGGGCCTGCAGGCACCTGTTACCAGGCCCAGCTCATTTTTGCGTTTTTAGTAGAGATGGGATTTCACCATGTTGGCCAGACTGGTCTGAAACTCCTGACCTCAAGTGATCTGCCCGCCCCAGGCCTCCCAAAGTGCTGGGATTACAGGCATGAACCACTGCGCCCAGTCAAATGAAATTACTGTTTAAATATTTAATATTCTACTGTTATTCATGAGAAATTAAAATGGTAAAACTATTATAATTAATATACCATAAAGGTTCATAATATAGTCTGAGTAACTGCGTTAATCAGCTCCCACACTGACTAAGGCATGGGCCACCACATCTGACTAATTTTTGTATTTTTAGTAGAGACGGGGTTTTGTCATGTTGGCCAAACTGCTCTTGAACTCCTGGCCTCAAGTGATCCACCTGCCTTGGCCTCTCAAAGTGCTGGGATTACAGGTGTGAGCCACCACGCCCAGGCAATAAATAAATAAATAAATAAAAACTGGGAATGTTTGGACTGACATAACTACCAAGTTCGGGGGCAGGACTGGACCCCAATGTAAACTGGGATCGAGGTGCCTGGACGATGTGGTGCGTAGCCGCCATCAAAGCCAGAGTCCTCCAGATTGGCACGCTCCACTCCAGGCAGCTCCACGTGCCCACAGTATTTCCTCCTCCCAATTTCAAGTTCAGGGAAAAATAAAATTCTTTCTCTACTAGTTCAAATCTTAAGTCAGAATGGAGGAGGCAGGTGCTCCAAAATAGCTCACTAGCCCAACCGTTAACTAACGACGAGGTGGCCGAGGGCATAGGATGGCCTCCAGGACAGAGCTCCGTCTCCCCGGCGTTCTGAGCTGAGGATGGGGTGAGAGGGAATACCCAACGGTCGTGTGGGGTCTGAAGAGGAGAGCATCCCAGTGGCCTGATGCAGCCGGAAAAGACTGGAAAGCTCTGTGCATGGCCACGGGGAGCTCGGTCCCCCAGAAAGCCATGTGGGCAGTCCCCGGCCCCCAGCCCATGCTGGAACTCACCTCTGGCCCCATTCACCTTGAGACTTGAACTTAGACCTCCTGCCTCCCGGCCCAGGGCTCAAACCACCCGCAAGCTGCCCATCAATCTCAGAAACGAACTGAGTTTCACAAAACATTCCATTCCCTGAACTATGGACAGCCCCGGAGGGTTAGGCCCCACGTGGGATGCCCCTTGCAAGGCTGTGGCCTTCCACTGGTGTTGCTGACTGGGGAGAGGACACTGGCTCTGCTCCCAAGACACCCCATCAGTGATAACACCAGTCCTGCCTGCGGGGGAGAGGACAACACAGCGCCTGGCCACCCCGCGGTGCTGGGCATCCCCGTAGCAGCCCCAGTGGTATCACTCTGAGATCAGGGCCGCCCACCAGAAAGATCCCAGCAGCTTCTCAGTTTGAGAAATACCTAGTGAATGACCTCAACTCAAAGCCTGGGGTGCGTGTGTTGGAAGCAGCACCGGCAGGGAAAGCACTGTGGGGACGAGGAGCAGGGACACCTGGGGACGGCCCATGGTGGCTGGACCAGTGACAGGGGAGGAGATCCCTTCTGTGTTCAGGTTTTGTCAAAAACGCAAATAATGAATTTATGGAGAAATGTTGCAAAGGTCCCGAAACATACAAGCTCATATATATTATATACATATATATTATATAAATACGATTTTATTTTTTTCCCTTTTATTCTCCACAGGGAGCAGCGAGGGGCCAAGGAGAGTGACAATCTGGATGGGCAGTGGATGCTAATGCCAGGCTGCCCTCAGAGCTGCTGCTGGAGCCCTGTGGCAGGAGTGTGGGGTGGAGGAGCCGGGACTGCATCCCCGTCCCTGCTCTGGTGTGGGGCTGGGCCCCTGCGGTCACAGCCCCCGCTCTGTCCTGGAGTGTTTGGGAAAAGCCAGGTGCCCCGTGTGGGCGTTTAGGAAGGCTCTGAGGACGACCGTCTCTCTGGGGCATGGGGCCTTGGACTGAGATTCTGCTGCTACCTCCAAGTTCCTGGGTGTCCACAGAGGAGCAGGGGACATGCTGGGGGAGGCGGCCCAGCCTGCCAAGCACCGAGGGGGCTGCTGGGGCATCTGGCAACTGACATCTAAGCCCAGTGCCTTCCAGGGGAGCGGGGTGTGGATGGTCGGGCCATCTGCCCAAGGCCCAGCAGCCTAAGACTGTGACCCCAGCTCTGCTGTGATGGGCCAGGCTGTGTGTGTGACCACAAGGCGGGGCCAGCCCAGGGCCCAGCACACCCGGGTCTTAGATGCGGACAAGGTGGCAGCATCTGCGGGCTTGGTGCAGGAGAGATGAGGGCGGCTCCGGACTCCCGCCTCTACCTCTGCCTGCTACTGTCGCTTCCATAAATGGCCTCACTCTTGCCCGGCCTGCAGTGCAGTGGTAGGACCGTGGCTCACCGCAGCCTTGACCCTGCTAGGCTCAAGCAATCCTCCCACCTCAGCCATCCAAAAAGCTGAGATCGCAGGCACTCACCCCACACCCAGCTAACTTTTTTGTAGAGATGGGGTCTTGCTATGTTGCCCAGGCTGGCCTGACCTCCCGGGATCAAGCAGTCCTTTGGCCTCAGCCTCCTGAGTAGTTGGGGCTTCAGGTGCAAGTGATGGCTGCGGCTCTGGGCTGAGTATTCGAAATGTGGCCGCTTTCGTGTGCCCCTTTAGCACTTCCCGCCTTTCTGGCATAACCCTCCTGGCCACGGGTTGTGCCGTCCAGCTCTGCAAAGACAAGACTCGCCCCTCAGCCCCCTGAGCTGGAAAGACACAGAGCAGGGGCACGGAGTGGAGCCCGGCGTGCATACGGCGCAGAGCAGGCCCCACGGCAGCGGCCACAGCCACACCGGCCCGGGCTGGGTGGGAACGCGACAGGAGGGGCTGGAGCGAATAGCACAGCACCCGGAGTCCCATCCAAATCGAGGTGAGGACCAGGCGACGTCTGGCCACCCATCGGGCCTCAGGAAGCAGCGTCACAGGTGGCGTTGGCCAGCCTCCTTGTTGGAGGACCAAGAGCAGAGGGCCACCCCAGGGCATGAGGGGCTCCCGAGAAGCTCAGTCACGGGAGCAAACAGCAGGGCGCTCAAGCTGAAGCAAGGAGCATCCTGTCCTGCTCGGCGGCTGGGGACACAGCTGCCAGCTCGCTGAGGCACCTCTGAGCTCCGTCAGAGGATCCAAGAAGTGCCCCGACCCTGATTAAGATGTTGTCATGTTGTCCAGAGCCAGGGGAGCAGGGCCACCAGGGAGGGCAAGCACGGGCAGTCCCCAAGGCCACAGCCGAGCTACCAGCAGCTGCCCTGCTTCACCTGGTTTGCTCGCGTCCAGTGGGATCCCCCAGAGACTCTGCCCAGGAAGCCCGAGCGAGCCGGGCCTCCCCTGGGGGTGAAAGGGTGGGCGGTTGCCGACCCCCAGCCCTGCCCGGGCTGCCTGTGCGCACAGGGGCCTGCCTGGCTTTGTGGACTCGGTCAGAGCCGAGCAGGGAGGGGAGGGCATGTTCCAGGATGCCAGTAGGTGAGCAGCACGCAGGAAGCAGAAGTCTCGGAGACCCCGCAGGCCGGCCTGGCTGGCAGAAGTGGTTCCCCAGCCCCTGGGCCTTCACTCCCTCCAACATGGGCCTGTGCCCCCATCCAGGGCCTGGTGCAGCCAAGGTGCACCCAAGGGCTGGACCCTGACCCCATGTCCCGCCATCCTAGGACAGAAAGGGCAGGAGCCAACGACCAGGCTGGGGAGCCTCTCTCCATTGTTTCTTTTTTAATGAACTCATTTCAAAGAAGAGCCATCTCCTGACCAGGAACGTTTCCCAGGAAGGGGACATGTTAGTGCAACAAAGATGAGGCCCTGGCAGCCACAAGAGGCCTCCAGACGCCTCGAGGACCCCGTCTCTAGCTGGGTGGGCCACTGGGCGGGGACAGACAATGACAAGGGGCAGGAGACAGCCGCTCAGCTGCCCTGCCAGCCCCAGGCGCTGTGCCAGAGCCTGCCCCATCTTGGGCTGGGGCTAAGGCACCAGGTCGGCGGGAGCTCGGGCTAGACTGGGCAGCCGCAGCATGGGCTCAGCAGGCCTGCGGCTCACAGTCCCCCACCTGCAGCCCCTTGCTCAGGAGGAAGGCATCCTGCTTGGGGTCACGGCCCAGGAAGTGCTTTAGCATGGCGCTGGCATCCTCGGAGCCGCCGGGCCTCAGGATGCAGCTTCTGTAGTCCATGCCGACCTGCCGAGGAGACACAGGGCGCTGCAGCCAGGTGGGGACCCAGGGAGGAAGGGCAGAGGACCCGGGAGTCTGCGCACCCCCACCCAGGGGGGCTCGGAGCAACCCCTTCCGGGCTCCCAGGGAGGTCTGGGGGCCGCCTGCATCAGCACGGGTAGGGAGCGCAGGCACCTCTCATCAGAATCTCAGAGCAGGGTGTGTACTGAGGGGCCAGCAGAGTCCCAACTCGCGAGGTGACTCCCCCCGTCAGCCCCCACTGTAACCCAGGCTGAGCCTGCGGTGGGACAGGGCAGGGCTGGCCTCAGAACTGGCAGCCACCTGCTCCTAGAGAAAGACTCTGGTGGCTGCCCTGAGCCTGCGTTGCAGCACGTCAGCGGGAGGGACGGGCTCAACAGCCCACTGCACAGTGAGGGAGCGGGGCAAAGGCCAAGCCAGGCCTTCCCGAAGCGGGCTCTGTCTCAGCACATGGCTCCCAAGCCAGAGACACCTCATCGGGATCTCCTTGGTGGCTGGCGCTGGCCACCTCGCTGTCTCGTCTCTGCCTCACCCGCCTGTAGTCCCTAAGGACTCCTCTGGGAAGACGCGGAGCTCCCAGCACTCACAGCCCCAGGCCTGCAGGTTCAGCGTGGAGCTTCCTGCAGGGCCCGGGAGCAGCGCCGTGCCAAGACCAGCAGGTGCCTCGGCCAGGATGGCTCAACGGGCACACCCGGGACGAGGCCAAGGTCACGCTGTTCTCTGTCCCCCCCTGCTGTTCAGGACATCCTCCCCGGCCCCCGGCCCCCACGTACCTTGCTGTTCAGGACGCCCTCCTGCTTAAAGCGTGTGTGGAACATGTCCATGGAGTACACCTCGCTCCACAGGTATCCGTAGTACTGGGCGTCGTAGCCGCCTGCCAGGTGGCCGAAAGTGGCCGGCATGTTGGTTCCTGGGACAGACACATGGCAGGGTTCACACTGCAGCCCTCACCCCGTCCTCCTCCCCAAGGTGAAGACATCCAGCCAGACTCCTGAGGCCTCTGCCTGGAACAGGGAGAAGCCAGAGGATCACAGCGAGGGCCAGAACCAGCCAGATAATGTCTAGAACCAGAGCCCAGCCACGAGGCCAGGGCCGCAAGTCTCTGCCTTTCTCCTGGAAGGACAGGAGCTCATCAAACGGAACCATCAGCTGCGACAAACTTCCCCAAACTCCCTCGATGGCTCCCCCATCAGCTCCCACCAAAATCCCAGGCTGAGCCTCGGTACAAACGTCTCCGTTACAAGACTGCATCAATAAACCAAGGCACGCCTATGCAACAGCATAGGACACACTGCTTCAAATGCTTTCAGAAAGACTGTTTCAGTCTACAGAACAGTGAACCCACAAAACACAACACACGTTAAAACCATGCTGTTTATGTATCACGTGTGTTCACGCGTCATAGATCCTCTCTAGTGCGTATGAACACACGTGCACGCGGGAAGAACAGGTACGAATCAACACAGGACCCCCCTTCCCGTCAGGACCTGAAATTCCTAGTCCTTCCTGTACTTTCCCAGGCTTTTCATAAAGCGTGTATCATGAATTTGAATCAAAGTAACACCGGCTTCGTTAAAAGCAAAGGTGCCAGAGAACGGACCCCTCCTCGAGGCTGGGCTGCACACCCACCCCGACCCTGGGCCTGCGGCTCGTCTCGGCTGGGCTGTCCCCGAGGAGCCTGGGACACGCTCTGTGGCTCCCCAGCAGAAACGCCTGCGCTTGTGAAGTGAAGCATGGGGACCAACTCCCTTCACCCTCCGGGGGAAGCGGCTGAGGCCCCAGATTCCAGGGTGCATCCAGCTCTAGGGCGGCTACCTGGCGTGGCCGGGACCCCGAGGATCTCCTGGCAGAGCCGTGCGTACTCCTCCGCGGGGTCTGCGTCCGTCTGAGTGTGCAGGGCCTGGTCCACCTTGGCAAGGACGATCTGGCGCAGGTTGAAGAGGCCTGGGCAGGAGGGAGGACGGAGCTGGCCTCTGCACCTGCCCCAGCCCACTCTGTCCAGAGCTCTGACCCCCTCCCGGGGGAACATGCCAAGCCCTGGCTGGGTGCTGCCACCCCTGGGCCAAGCGCCCTCCCCGAGACAGGGTGGGTGCATGCACCTGTGTTGGCCTGCCGGGACTCGATGAGCTTCTCCAGGAGCTCCTGGGGCACCGCGCTGCCCGTGTGGTAGTGCCGGGACATCCGCAGCAGCGGCTCCTTCTCCCACACCCAGTTCTCCAGCATCTGCGACGGCGCTTCCACAAAGTCCCGCTCCACGTGGGTACCGCTGAACATGGCAAACTCCGCCTGTGGGGGTAGGGCAGAGACTCAGAATGCCCGTTCCCGCCAGCCTGGCCCGTGTCAGCTGCCACAGTGCAAATGTGCCAGGTGCACAGGTGACGTACTGGGCCCGGCCCTCCCACCCCAAACGTGGAAAACGACCAGGACCCACAGGCCCCTGGGCTGCTGCCATCTGCCTGTGCCAGCAAGACACACCTGAAGATGCCAGCCACACGCCTGTTCCTGGAGGCCACCCACGCTTTTCCCCATCCACAGAGCCACTGTTCCCTGAAAGCTTTGTACCCGAGAGGCAGAGAAGCCAGTGCAGCTGGGAGCTGGGGACGGCCAGGTCTGCGTGAGGACACTGCAAGGTGTGCTGTGTCTCCCTGCCTGCGTGTGTGGAACCTTCCCGAAAAGCACAACCCTTGACCCAGTCCCGCAGGAACGGTGGCTGGCAGCTGACGGCCAGGGTGATCCTTAAAGTCCTCTCTGCGACACCAAGGCTTTTCCAAGGACTGCACAGCCACGCTCCTCATCCCAATGACTGACTGCACCGAGGGACTCGACGTGCCAGGCCCCAGCGTCAGGGAGAGAGCAGCAGGCAAGGCAGGCATCAGGCCCGTGTGCGCGCTCCTGTGCCCATGCGTGTGTTGGCTCTGAGCCCCGTGCAAACACCATGGCAGGGAAGCCAGGAAAGGCGGACACACGGTCGATACTCATGCCGGACTCCGTGTTTTCTAACTCGCCTACCAAGATCCCCGGTAACCCCAGAGGCTGGCACTGCGCTCCTCAGACAGGCTGCTCTGTCTTCTCGCTTCCACTCATTCTGTGAGCACGGGTGCTTTTTCAGTGGAGAGGTGCACAGTTTTTGCATTTTTGTGCTCTCAGTGATTTTGCTGTTTAGGCCCCAAGCGTCGTGCAGAGCACTGTCTCGTGCCCCTCAGCGCCAGGAGGCCACCATGAGCCACACGGGACACCCTGTGTGTGCCAGCTGCGTTCAGGCACGGGTGACAGATCCGCCTGCCGTGTGTTCGATGTGAACCCGCTGGCGCCGCACAGCAATAAGGCGTCTTGAACCGAAAACACACACAGTAAAGGCTCTGGATTGACCAGTGGGCAAATACGTGACCAGAGGCTCATGGGAGCCCAGCCCGGGGTCCCCTGGGAGGGACAGCTACATGTGTGCTTCTCAGCACCTTCACAGGACAGAACTTTTCCGAGGAATGACAGCTGACCGTGTGCCAGGAAAGATGCTTGCCACAAGATGGCACCATGTTGGTCAGGCTGGTCCTGAACTCCTGACCTCAGGTGATCTGCCCACCTCTGCCTCTCAAAGTGCTGGGATGACAGGTGTGAGCCACTGTGCCCGGCCAGATGTGACTGTACTTGGAAACTGGATGTCTGAGGAAGTCACTAAGGTAGCATGCCTGGGGGCCCTGCAGGATGAGCTGAGGACCCACACAGAAGGACGAGCGCACGAGGACATGGGGACACGGGGACAGGGAGGAGGCGGCGTCTGCAGGCCGAGGACGGGCTAGAGGGAGCCAGCCCTGCTGACGACGTGACCTCAGACTCCAGCCTCCAGGACCAGGAGGACATACACACTCTTTGTCTAAGCCTGGTCTGTGGTGTTTTGCTGGGGCAGCCCCAGGACACAGGCATGAGAAGGAGTAGCCACTTTCGGGTGGCATCGGATGAAGGAGCTACCAGGTGGGCGCAGAGAGCCAGAAGCTGAAGCCCTGAGCTCATGCCCCACTGACTACAGGCTGCCCCAGCCCCTGCCTGTGCCCGGGCCCACACCCACCTGGGAGCAGAGCTGGTGCATCACGTGCCCGAACTCGTGGAAGTAGGTCTCCACCTCGTCGTGCTGCAGCAGCGAGGGCGTGTCGGGCGTGGGCTTGGTGAAGTTGGCCACCATGGCCGCGATGGCGATCTGGCGGCTCCCGTCCTGCCGCAGGCAGCCAGGCTGCAGGCCAAAGCAGGCCGCGTGCCCGTACTTCCCTTCCCTTGGGGGTGGAGGCAGCGTCAAGCCCCGTGAGCACTTGAGTCCCCGACTCCACATCCCTCAACCCACTTGACTCATAACCCAGACCGCTGGGCGCTTCTGAGGTTCTCAGCCTCCCTCAGCAGAAGCCACTTGGCACCGGGCAGCATGAAAACCACGGCCCGGCCCAGCTGCCATCCCTCCCCTAAAGGACTCTGGCCTGGGCAGAGCTGTGCCCTGTCTGGGGGGCCAAGTGAGGGTGGAAACAGGACAGCTGCATTTCGGCCCCCGTAGTGTGCCCATGGTGCTACACCTCGGGTTCATCCCTGAGGCCCTGCGGAGCAGGCCACGACTTCCTTCCCATCTCAGACGGGAGTGCGGGCTCTGAGGAGACCCAGGGCCTGGGCGCGCCCCCCGCCCCCCTGCCCTCACCCACCGCGGGTACAGGTCCAGGTAGAACTTGCCGACCACTTCCCCCGAGGCTGCGTCCCTGGCCGTGTAGAGCCGCACGTCCTCGTGCCAGGCGCTGGCGCCCTCCTCCTGGTGGAAGGCCAGCCCCAGCAGCTCCTGGTAGATGCCCAGCAGCCCCTGCGTGACCACCTGCACCGGGAAGTACTCCTTGAGCAGGTTCTGGTCCACGCGGTAGCGCGTCTCCTCCACCTGGTTCATGTAGTAGCGCATGTCCCAGGCATGGATGCGCCCGTCGAAGGTCAGGCCCCGGCGCTCACACTCGGCACGCTTCAGCTCCAGAATCACCTCGCGCTCCTGCTCTCCCAGGGGCTTCAGCTTCTGCGCCAGCTCATCTGCAGGGAGGGCAGAAGGTGGGTGTCTCGCCCTGCAAGCTCCTCCATGGCTCTAGGTTCTCCCACCCACAGCCACAGCTTCATCAGGCTCCGCGTCTGTCTGGAAGAGGGGACCCGCAGCTCCCAGCAGCCCCTCGCAGGGCTCATCATCCTCACGCTCAGGACGAGGGGCGGAGGGACCGGTGTGGGTATGGGACTGACACCGGGGCCTGAGCACTTCCCTGTTCTGAGGGTCCATCCAGGGGAGTGAGGGAGCCAGGGCAGGGGGCGGAAGTCCCTCTCCATGGAGGGAAAGAACAGGGCTCTAGGGATAGCACCAACTGTACCCGGGGGTGACCCTGAGAACCTTCGCCACAGGGACCCTGGTGGAGGAGGAAGGGCTACCTAGGAAGGTGGCCACGGTCTGGCTGGTCTTGGCCATGTTCATCTCCAGGACATAGTCGGCGTGTGTGCAGAACCCCAGCAGGCGGGACTTCTGGGCCCGCAGCGTCACCAGCTCCTTAAGGATGGCACAGTTCTCCTGCAACCGACATCACCGTGCTGTTGGCCAGGGTGCCACTCCCTCTACCTCCAGGGCCAGGGGCTCATCCCAGCTGTCTGGCCTCTGGCCCCTGCCCTTCTCTGGCTGTGTCACTACACAGCCCTTCTAGTCACACCACGAGTGTCGTTATAAGCCTTAGTGTAAATGACTCTAAGGCCTCACACAGAATGTGGTGTGGGCACGGGGGCTGTGTGCACCGAATGTGGTATGTTGGCGGGGGGGGGGGGGGCTGTTTGAGGAGCCTCTGAGGGCATCACTGCTGCACATGGGGACACCCTCATGTCCAGGCCCTGGCTCCCAGTCTCAGAACTCTGCCCGTCTCCACTGGCACGCGACACGCACGCAGCCTCACCTCCAGGGACTGGCACTGCTGACCAAGGGGGTGGGGGGAGAAACATGACAGATGTGCCCATCAGCACGCGGGCTCCACAGGGAACCCAGCGGTGACCAGGCAGGTGCGTGCAGAGCCGCCAGTCAAGTGGGGGCCAGGCCGACCACCAGCAGCAAAGTGTCTGAGGCGGCACATGCTCTGGGACCTGGAACTCAGCCCACCCATGTGCTCTCTCTTGGCCCGGCCCTCAATCCGCCACTAGCACCCAACCCTGGGGACCAGGACAGTATTTAGAAACGAGGACTCGTAGGGCTTGGACCCCTGCCCAGTTGACCTTCCAAGGTGCGCTGGGGAAGTTGAGGTCCGCCCAGTCCACAGGTCTGCCTACTCAGGCGTACAGCAACGAGAACTCACTGCCAACATGTAGAGGGCAGGCCCCCCGTTTAAACCAGCCATGCTCCTGGCCCCTGACCAGCAAGGAGCCCTCCTCTGCAGTGACCGGCGCCTGCCCATCACGCTACAGTGATCTGTGCCCGCCCGTCCACTGCCCACTGCCCCCTGCAGTGACTGGTTCCTGCCTGTCTTCCTCTCAGTGATTGGTGTCCCACCCCGTTCCCCTGCAGTGATCGGCAGTGATCAGGGCCTGCCTGTCCCCCAGCCCCTTTCACCGGCCACGTGAGCACCAACATGGTGTGGTCAGGAGACCACCGAGGCCCACTCCTAGTGCCCCTGCCTGTTCCAGATGCCAGACATGAGAAATGCAGAGGCCATCTGACTACACCATGGGGTCGGGGACAGTTACACGAGTCCGTGTGGGAATGGCCGTCTGGCGCCAGATCACAGCGAGAAGGCCCAGTCACGACCCACCTGTGGACCCGGGCTCAGGCCTGGGAACCGCCACGTCAGACCAAAGGAGTGATCTGGGCGGATCCAGATAAGGGAGAGAGGACACCTGCGTCTGGCCAGATGCTCAGAGCAGCAGCAGGAGCGTCAGCTCGGGAAGGATGAACTGGGCCCTGAGCTGTGGCCCCAGGGTCTAGGTGGAGCCCAGCACAGACAACCCCAGAGGGTGGCGGAGCCCCACAGGGAGGCCTCTGCTGGCCAATGAGCCTGGCCAGGGAAATTGGGAGGCGCCTCACATGTGCGCGGCCGACGAGCCCCGCAAGCTTCAGCCCCACAGTCCCTGGGGCCCCGGCCGCACCTGCTCACCTCCTTACACCGGCAGTTGAAGGCCTCCTCCACTTTCCTCCTGGTCTCTGGCACGTGGCATTTCTTCAGGAGGGGGAAGTAATGGGGGTACTTGAGGGTGACCTTCAACTTGCCGTCCTCTGTCTTCTCCAGGGAGTTGAGAAAGTCCTCAGGGAGCCCTCCTATGGGGACAGAACAGTCCTGTCAAAGCAGAGGGGTGGGCTTCCCTTCTGCCCGAAAAACTACAAGGGGGCCCTCAGGGAGCAGCCACAGCCTGGCCACCACCCGCTGCCAGATCCCCCTCTAACCCCACCAGGAAACCCCCAGCACCCCCAGAGCAGATCTCCTACCCCAGAGGGGTTAAAGCTAAATCCAGCTCAACCCCTGGACAGCGCGAGCTTCCAGGATGCTGCCGCCACCCACCGTGTGCAGGGAGGAGGGTGGCAGGAAGAGTGGCTGTCAGCACACAGCCCCAGTGCACATCCACTTCCAGGTGCGTCCCTCAGACAGACCCAATCCCTGCTCCCAGAGCTGCTCACTGCAGCCCTGCCAGCCTTTCTCCACCCACAAACCCCTGGCCGGACACAGCCCACCCTGCTGCCCGGCAGCCACAGCCTCCCACCTGGCTCCTGGCCGACAGCCCGGGGGGAGATGGGGGCGGCAGCACCCCACACTGAAACCCTCCAGGGCTCCCACTTCATGGTTCGGGGGACACCAAGGCCACCATGCCTCAGGTTCGCAGCTTTGACACAGACTGGCTCACCCTGCACTCCAGGATGGTAAGGGTGAGAAAGAATGATCGGGATGAGGGGCTGGTGGCTGATGGGGGACATTCTGGGAGACCAGCCCGTGGGGGTGGGTGCTTACGAGGGAGCCAAGAGCCCCACCTCCCCATTTGCACGCCGGCACCAGCACTGGCCTGGCAATGTCTGCCCGGGGACTCAGCGGACTGAGCTCAGCTTCCAGTGTCTCAGCTGGGCTCTGGGGTGGGGGGCGGGTCGGGAGGAGAAGAGGGGAAAGAGTAGCCTCCTGAGACCTGCACATCTTCCTTTCCAAGGAGCAGAGGCCTTCAAACAGCATCGCTCCATCTTAACAGTGTGTCACCCAGGAGTGACGGCTGACGGTCAGAGATGGGAGTTAAAGACAGCAAGGGGGACGGCCAGAGTGTCTCGGCAGTGCTGGACTGGAAGCAAAGCTGTAAAGTGCACTCATGGAAGTTTTCATTGTTTTAGAAACAAGGTCTTGCTCTGTTGCCCAGGCTGGAGTACAGCAGCAATCACAGCTCACTGTGGCCTTGAATGCCCAGGCAGGAGCGCAGCGGTGCGATCACAGCTCACTGTGGCCTTGAACTCCCAGGCTGGAGCGCAGCAGCGATCACAGCTCACTGTGGCCTTGAACTCCCAGGCTGGAGCGCAGCAGCAATCACAGCTCACTGTGGCCTTGAACTCCCAGGCTGGAGCACAGCGGTGCGACCACAGCTCACTGTGGCCTTGAACTCCCAGGCTGGAGCGCAGCGGTGCGACCACAGCTCACTGTGGCCTTGAACTCCCAGGCTGGAGCGCAGCGGTGCGACCACAGCTCACTGTGGCCTTGAACTCCCAGGCTGGAGCGCAGCGGTGCGACCACAGCTCACTGTGGCCTTGAACTCCCAGGCTGGAGCGCAGCGGTGCGACCACAGCTCACTGTGGCCTTGAACTCCCAGGCTGGAGCGCAGCGGTGCGACCACAGCTCACTGTGGCCTTGAACTCCCAGGCTGGAGCGCAGCGGTGCGACCACAGCTCACTGTGGCCTTGAACTCCCAGGCTGGAGCGCAGCGGTGCGACCACAGTTCACTGTGGCCTTGAACTCCCAGGCTGGAGCGCAGCGGTGCGACCACGGCTCACTGTGGCCTTGAACTCCCAGGCTGGAGTGCAGCGGTGCGACCACGGCTCACTGTGGCCTTGAACTCCCAGGCTGGAGCGCAGCGGTGTGACCACGGCTCACTGTGGCCTTGAACTCCCAGGCTGGAGTGCAGCAGTGTGATCACAGTTCACTGTGGCCTTGAACTCCCAGGCTGGAGCGCAGTGGTGCAATGACAGTTCACTATGGCCTTGAACTCCCAGGCTGGAGCGCAGCAGTGTGACCACGGCTCACTGTGGCCTTGAACTCCCAGGCCTAAGCAAGCCTCCTGCCTCAGCCTCCCGAGGAGCTGGGACCACAGGTGTGCCCCACCATGCCCTGTGGCACTTGTGGGTTTCATATACAGACACAGAAGAGAAGAGTACGTGTGCCCACGGGTGACGCAGAGATGTGCGTCTGCTCCCTGGCTCTGTTGACGGCGTCCAGGAACGCTGCTCCCCAGCAGCGATGAACACACCTCAGGCCCAGATTCTGCTTCCTGAATCGCCCTCCACTCAAAGGCACCACGGCTCCTCCAAGAAATGGCTCACCTGAGCGCTGGGGCAGAGAGAGCCCGTATGAGCCTGCGGCACCATGTGTCCAGCAGTGAGAGCCAGCTCAGAGGCCGAGCCTGCGGTACCATGTGCCCAACAGAAGAGCAGGCTCAGAGGACAGCAGGTGCATTCCAAGGACACAGGGACTATCTGGAGGGGCTCCCGAGGGTTGGTGTGGGGAGATTTGAGCACTGAGATAAATGGTAACGGACGATAACCTGGGAATAAAACGGGAGCCTCATGCACACGACAGGGAGAAAAACAAATCAGTAAGAAAATGGGCAAGGAGGAAGGTTCGGAGTCACAGCAGGATGACTAACGCTCAGAGGGCTGAGGGCAGCAAAAGTCATCTACGGATGCGGCACCAAGTGCATGAGAAGTGCGAGACCCACACTCACGGGTCTCCGGTCTAGGTGGGGGCATCCACTCCAAAACACACAAGGAACTTAGTCCAGAGATGGCGGCATTCAGGGTGGCAGAGCTGGGGAGATGGCGGTGCTGGGGGGTGGTGGCATTGGAGGGGATGGTGGTGTTGGGGGATGGCGATTGGGGACCAGCAGTATTGGGGGACAACGGCATTTGAAGATGGTGTTGTTGGGGGATTTGGGTATTGCGGACAGTGGTATTGGGGGATGGGGGTGTTGGTGAATGCTGATATTGGGTGCTGGGACCTTTAACGGGCAACCAGGTCATGTGGGCTCTGCCTTCAGGAATGGATGAATCCATTCATGGACTCATGGACTAAGGAAGGGACTGATGGATTAATGTAGCAGTGGGACTGGGGCTTTGTGAGGAGAGGGGTAGACCTGGGCAGGCTCGTTTAGCCACCTCCTCTCACCAGGTGACACCTTGGCCCTCTCACGGCTCCAGAGTCCCCACCAGGAAGAAGGCCCTCATCAGATGTGGCCCCTTGACCTGGGGCTTCTCAGCCTCCAGAGCTGTGACAAGTTAACTCCTTTTCTTATAAACTACTGGGCTTTAGGTCTTCTGTTGTAAGCAAAAGAAAAGGGACTAAGCGTCTCCTGACAAACGACTGACACAAAGGCAAACAGGCCCCGGGGCAGCGGAGAGCCTGGACCACCCTTACCCAGGCGTGCGCCACCATCACCCACCACGTGGGACTCAAGCCACCCGCACGGAGGCCCCTCAGGCTGGACAAATGGAACAGCAGCCCAAAGAGTTAGACACCAAACCAACACATGCTCCTGAGTGTGCAGGACGACGAATGTGAAAAGCAGGAGCTGAAACACTGACAAGAGAACACAGCTGGCTGCCACCGGGGAGCCCATGTGCCCCAGCACTCTGCAGAAGCAGCCCGCTGACGCCGTTACCCGGCGGAGTCCGCAGAACCAGCCCGCTGACACCGACTGAGCTTCTGCTGCACTTCGGACCGACTTCCCCAGGATTTGCACCTGGACCTGCGCGCTGGCACGTACAGACAACCATGTGTGCCTGAGGACCTTCCCACCTCCTCCTCTTTGCGTCCACCAATCACCTGCTAACCCCAGAACCCGCCTCTAAGCCTTCTCTAATCAAAGCACTGCCTGAAAGCTGGCACAGGAGGCAGATGTGAGCTGGATGCCCAGTCTCCCTGGGAGCCACTTGCAATGAAAAGCTTCTGTTTTCTCAAAAACTTGGTGCCACAGCACTCGCTTCTAGCACACTGGGCATCAAGCCCTTCTGCTTGCTAACACGAGCAGGTGGGAGGAACAGCCCCGCGGGGACAGTGTGGGTGGCCGCGGGGACAATGTGAGTGGCTGAGGAGACAGTGTGGGTGGCTGCGGGGATGATGTGGGTGACGGTGGGGACGGTGTGGGAGACTGGTGACGGTGGGGAGGGTGTGGGTGATGGTGTAGGACGGCGGGACGGTGTGGGAGACTGGTGACGGTGGGGAGGGTGTGGGTGACAGCGGGGAGGGTGTGGGTGACAGCAGGGACAATGTGGATGGCCGTGGGGATGGTGTGGGTGCACCCACTGAGTTGCAGGGGCTGGGAAATGTCCGTTACTGCAGATTGTAGGCCATCTTCTCCCCCTGGTGTGGGGAGCTGAGGGTAGGCGCACCGCCTGAGACCCAGCAGGGCTGTGAGGGGCTGAGCCAAGCTCAGTGGTGCCCGACCTGCGAGTGCTCCTTCAGGGAACGTGCACCCAGGTCACTGCACATCAAGCCACCCAAGGAGGCCTCAGACCATGAGGGCCTTGTCCCCACCCGTCACCTCAGAGGCAACCACAGTTAGAGTCTAGAACTGGACATTATATTCTATAGCATTCATTAGAATATTCTGGCCCAGCCGGGCACTGTGGCTCACGCCTGTAATCCCAGCACTTTGGGAGGCCAAGGCGGCAGGACCACCTGAGTCCAGGAGTTCAAGACCAGCCTGGCCAACACAGCGAAATCCCGTCTCTACTACAAATACAAAAATTAGCCGGGTGTGATGCCACACATCTGTAATCCCAGCTACTCGGGAGACTGAGGCAGGAGAATTGCTTGACCAGGGGCGGAAGTTGCAGTGAGCCAGGATGGTACCACTGCACTCCAGCATGGACGACAGAGCAAGAATGCATCTCTAAATAAACTTTAAAAAGGCAGCAAGTGGGGTCTCAGGACAAAGTTCTGGCTGCCTCAGGGCCATCGCTGAGACTGGCACCCTTGGCCACCCCTTCTGGCCTGGGGGCCCGCCACTGCCAGAGACATTTTCCATTAGGGTGGAATCTTGGTCGGACAGACCTCGGCCGGAGTGTAGCAGGTGAGGAAAGCCCTCGTCCCAGCGGGTCAGATGCAGCTGCCTTGGCCTCCCTCTACCCTTCACTGCAGAAGCCCGCAGGAGGAAGCGTAGCCCGAGGGCCTGCCAACCCCGCAGTGAGCCCCAGGACCAACAGCTGCCCATCCCCCACGCCCGGTCCCTACCCAGCTCCTCCACCGTGAAGGGCAGGAAGGTCGTGTCCTCGTTCAGGTTCTTGTTGAAGTCGATGCACAGGAGGCTCAGCTTCTTCTTGATGCTTTTGATTTTCTAGAGAGAAACGCGAAGCGTCAGAGGAGGGAGAGACCAGGGCGGGAGCTGCAGGAAGAAGCAAAGTCCTGGGAACGCTCCCACCTAGGGCTAAGGGATTTCCTCAAGAACCAGGAAGAAAGAAGAGACCACCAGGGACGAGAGAGTGAGGTGGGAGGCAGAGAACAGACAGCCGAGACCACAAGGCTGTGGAGCTGGGTGGCCTTGGGTAGCCTCAGGGCTGTGCTCCCGTCTGTCCGGTGTGGCCCTGGCCAAGAGGGCCTCAGACCCTCCTATCCACTCAGGAATCACTTTCAGAGCCTACAGCCTAAGCTTGTCAACATTTTTCTCAGACGGGGTCTCACTGTGTTGCTCAGGCTGGAGTTCAGAGGCGATCTCAGCTCACTGCAGCCTCTACCTCCCAGCTCTATCTATCCTCCTGCCTCGGCCTCCTGTGTAGTTAGGACTACAGGTACACGCCACTACGCCCAGCTAATTTATGTACGTTTGGTAGAGTTGGGGTTATACCATGTTGCTCAGGCTGGTTTTGAACTCCTGGGCTCAAGCGATCCTCCCAACTCAGCCTCTCAAAGTGCTGGAATTACAGGCATGAGTCACTGTGTCTGGCAGCTTCTGAACATTTTATCCCTTATCTGGTAAAGGTGGTTTTAGAAACAGCTAAAAAATCAACCCTGGTGATAGAGGATACCAACTAAGGACTCAATCTAGAGGGGCCCCTCTGGTAGCTCCGAGGGCTAGGAGCCGACCACTGTGTGAGCAGCACCTGGCTTGAGGGCATGTGACACACGACATGCTGGCGGCAGGGCCGGGCTTTGACTCAGATCTTCCCGCCGGAAGCTCCGCCAGGCGGGTCTGGAGCCCAGCTCCATGGGGCCGGAGCAGAAATGCTCACCCACGGGACAGAGTGCGGCGGGGCTGGGAAACTGCGCCCCGGGCTTTGCATGGAACCCATAGCTTGTCAGGCAGGACCTGGGCTCACAAACAGCTGAGGGCTGGCTGGGCCTCTCCTGGGAGAGACTGCTGGGCAATTCCATCTCCCTCTTTCGCCATCTCACGCAGACAAACCCAGCAATGCCAGGGAAGGCTCTGGAGACTCAATGTGCAAACAGCGCTGGCCCGAAGAGCCTGCAGGAACACCAGGAACTCTGCTCGCTGGGGTCCGGCCTCTACCCTCCCTCCGGGGCTGCCCCTGGTCCCCCTTGCTCGCTGGTCCTTGTGGAGAGTGCGTGGCTTCTGCCGTGCCCTGGACCACACATGCTGGGCGTGCAAGAAGCTGAGTGGCTTTTTAAAGTAACTGTGGCGCGGCGCCTCACACCTGGAATCCCAGCGGTGTGAGAGGCCGAGATGGGTGAATCACTTGAGGTTAGGAGTTTCAGACCAGCCTGGCCAACATGGTGAAACCCTGTCTCTATAAAAAAAAAAAAAACAAATAATGAGCCAGGTGTGTTGGCAGGCGCCTGTAATCCCAGCTACTCAGGAGGCTGGGGCAGGAGAATGGCTTGAACCCAGGAGGTGGAGGCTGCAGTGAGCTGAGATCGCACCACTGCACTCCAGCCGGGGCGACAGAGTGTAATTCCCTCTATAAAGAGATATACAAATAAATAAAAATAACTGTGACTCTTGTCCTCTACAGCTGAGTTGAGACCCCCAGTCCCCCGAGTCCTGAGAGGGACCCTGATTCTGCTTTTATCAGTGCTGGTTTCACTGACAAACACACTGGCCTCTCTGAGTTGTGGCTGCCTCAGCCATCAGGTGGAGACGCCCCTAATCAGGACAGCAGTAGCTTTACATAACAGGAACAGGGACAGCCACGGGGCTCTGGCTGCAGCCTGGGGCCTGTTTTAACCATGCATTTTCTTTCCTGGACAGATGCTCCTGGACTTAGGACGGGGGTATGTCCCAATAAACCCATTGTGAGTTGAGAATCTCATAAATCACGTATGTATTTACTCTCTAACAAACAGAGCGTCACAGCCAATGTGGCCTGCCTTAACCGTGCTCAGGACGCTCGCGGCGGCCCACATTCTGGCGGCATCACTGAAGCAAAGACTATCTGACAGGAGGTGTTGCGAATCTCATGTAACTTTTGTTTTCAGTTCACCTGCGCCATCGCAGGCTGGCTGGAGCCGTGGCCAGCACCCAGCATCACAGGAAAGCAGGTGCCCAGGTGGCCACCCTGGGAGAGACCAGCATTCCAAGGATGGTCTCCATGGAACACGCATCATGGTCACACCATCCTGAGTTGGGGCCTGCGTTCTGATGCTCTGATGTCAGGGGGCCTTGCCGGCCCTGGAGAAACAGTACCTCCCAGAGGCAGCCAGCAACTCGCTGCAGACATCTTTCATGCAAATCAACCAGCCTCGAGTCCCTACACTCTGGGGTACAGCCACTGGACCCCAACACCCTAGGACGAGGTACCTGACGAAGGACGGCCCCATGCCAGGGCCGGCTGGCACGGTCCACTGATCGCACTCCCCACCACGCCCGCACCTTCACAAAGGACCACAATGAAGGCCCTGCCCAGAGCACAGCTCCTGACCCAGCCCTGCTTCCCGTGTGGCACGCTGCCAGTTCCTGGGAACTGTGACAAACATCTTTTTGTGGCAGTCACCCCTGCTCTGCTGGCGTCACCAAACCCCGATCTTCTAGCACACAACGCCTGACTTAAGCGCTGTCCTCCCAGCTCTGCACCAACTAATTCATATCACCCCTGAGACGCGCACATCAGGCACAGTGGGCAGCGAATGGAGGGGCTCCCCTCGTTACTGAGCCTCTGTGCCCATGTCTGCATGTACCTGCCTTGCCAGAGTTCATGTCCTCAGGCAGCACAAAGATGGACATCAGGCTAAGGGGTCAGCCTTGAAGGGAGGACACTCCCAAGGAGGCAGGAGCAAGAAGCCATGGGAGCCTCACCAGCCACACCCAGCACTCCCCACATACAGTACTCCCCAGAACCGAGCACTCCCCACACCCAGCACTCCCTAGGACTGAGCACTCACCGCACCCAGCACTACCCAAACCCAGTACTCCCTGGGACCGAGCACTCCCCATGCCCAGTACTCCCTGCACCGAGCACTCCCTGAGCCCAGCACTTCCCCTGCCCTATACATCCCACTCCCAGAACTCCCCTGGCCCAGCTCTCCCCACGTGTGGCACTCCCCACTCCCCACACTCAGCACTCACTTCCTGAGTCTCTCTGGGGAGGTGAAGCCCATTCCTCCGGCCCAGCTTGATCAGCCGCTCCAGGTACCGCGCAGCCTCAGGCCTCAGAGAGTCCTTCTGAACTTTCTCCTGGAATAAGAACATCAAAGCATGTAAGACATGGGCCAGTGCAAACACTCCAAAGAGCTGTTTGGCAGTTTCTTAAAAACCTGATCATCTGGCCCCCACGGAACTTGGCAGCTGAACTCCTGGGCATTTATCTCAGAGAAATGCCGACCTGTGTCTACACGAAATCTGAGCGCAAGTGTTTGCTCTGTTTGGAAGAGCCCCACACTGACATCAGCCCAGAGCTCCTTCACCAGGGCAATGGCAGAACAGGACTAAGATCACTGATCGTCCCAGGTCAGCACCCGGGGTGTAGATGACACCACAGTTTTGCAAAACGTCTCTCCCGGGGGCAGAGTGTACAAGGGCACCCATTCCTGCACCTGTGTGGGAACCTCTTGTTGTCTCTCCAGAAACTCTGGAAGGTGGGGGTGGAAGAATTGCTTGGGCCCAAGAGTTTGAGACAAGCCTGGGCAACATGTGAGACCCCATTTACACTTAAAGAAAAAAACAAAATAATCCATTGCTATCATAGGCCACCCTGATGTGTACTGGAAGAAGCACGGGGGCTGCATCTTCCTGACACTGTGGGGACACGGCTGCATATTCCAGGGGTCCTCAGCTAAGAGGATGAACAGCAGCAGAAGGGTCTCTGGGTCTCTCCTAATCACATGACATCAACAGCAAAGGCCCCACTGCATGCTGAGAGGAGCGTCCAGGGGAGTAGGAGCCCATGGGGCCATGTCACCAGGCTCTGTCAGCTCACATCACGTGCGGATGGGTTGTTTGGGCCACATGTGGGATGGCCAGGAAAGGAAACAAAAGTGCACATGCGTGCCAGGCATGGTGGCTCACTCCTGTGATGCCAGCATTTTGGGAGGCCAAGGTGGGCAGATCACCTAAGGTCAGGAGTTCGAGAACAGCCTGGCCAAGATGGTGAAACCCTATCTCTACTAAAAATAAAAAAAATGGGCCAGGCACAGTGGCTCACACCTGTAATCCCTGGACTGTGGGTGGCTGAGGTGGGCAGAACACTTGAGGTGGGGAGTTCGAGACCAGCCTGGCCAACACAGTGAAACTCCATTGCTACTAAAAATACAAAAATTAGTCTGATGAGGTTGCACGTGCCTATAATCCCAGCTATTCCAGAGGCTAAGGCAGGATAACCGCTTGAACCTGGGAGGTGGAGGCTGTAATGAGCTGAGATCACACTACTGCACTCCAGCAGGGACAACAGAGCAACACTCTGTCTCAGAACAAAGCAAAGCAAAAAATCAAAAAACAGAAAAGGAACTGAGTGTGAGGGAGCCAGGGAGCCCCAGGTGTTCTGTCCCTTGCTGTTGTCATCACACTCTATTTGCCTTTACCATTTTTTAACAGTTTTTTTAAAAAAGGTGCTGTACCGCTGGGCATGGTGACTCACGCCTGTAATCCCAGCACTTCTGGGAGACTGAGGCCGGCAGATTACGAGGTCAAGAGATAGAGACCAGCCTTGCCAACATGGCAAAACTCCATCCCTACTAAAAATACAAAAATTAGCCAGCCATGGTGACGTGCACCTGTCGCCACAGCTACTCAGGAGGCTGAGGCAGGAGAATCACTTGAACCCAGGAGGCGGAGGTTGCAGTGAACGAAGGTCGCACCACCGCACTCCAGCCTGGCAACACAGCGTGTCTCCGCGTCAAAAAAACAAACAAAAAAAATTGTTCGAAGACAAACCTAACCCAAAATTCACCACTCTAACCCTGACGAAGCACACACCGCAGGCCCATGCGGTGCAGCCCCCGCCTGCATCTGCTCCACAACTCCTCCTCGTTACACTTTTAGAACCTAGAGAGCAGGAGTTGTCAGTCCTCAAGAGCTTTCTACCCACTGCTGCTGCTGCCTTACAGCTTCTCCCGGCCTTACAGCTTCTCCCGGCCTTACAGATTCTCCTGGCCTGACAGCTTCTCCCGGCCTTACAGATTCTCACTGACTTACAGCTTCTCCCCGCCTTACAGATTCTCCTGGCCTGACAGCTTCTCCCGGTCTTACAGATTCTCACCGCCTTACAGCTTCTCACCGCCATACAGCTTCTCCCCGCCTTACAGATTCCCCTGGCCTGACAGCTTCTCCCGGCCTTACAGCTTCTCCCCGCCTTACAGCTTCTCCCGGCCTGACAGCTTCTCCCCGCCTTACAGATTCTTCCGGCCTTACAGCTTCTCCCAGCCTGACAGATTCTCCCGGCCTGACAGCTTCTCCCGGCCTGACAGCTTCTCCCCGCCTTACAGATTCTTCAGGCCTTACAGCTTCTCCCCGCCTTACAGGTTCTCCCCGCCTTACAGATTCTCCCGGCCTGACAGATTCTCACCACCGTGGGCTTTCCCTCAGCCTGCCCAGCCACTGGCCACCGCACTCCCTACGGGACCCCTCACCTGGAGCCACACAATCCTCTGGTACACGTCTTCCCTCATGCTCATCTCCACATCGAACTCGGAGAGCTTCTTGTCAGCCTCCGTGCTGGCCGTGCGGATGTCCTTTGAGGGAGAAACGTGCTGGGGGAAGTCAAGGCTATTCCTCTGAACTGAAACAGGGGGAGAGCAGGGAGACGGGTGAGAACGGGCCCAGTGCAACCAGCAGGTGCTGCCCTGACCCCTCCCCTAGCCCAGGCCTGTCTGCTGAATCCCCCAAGAACCGTCTCCTGCCTCAGCCTCTTGAGTAGCTGGGATGACAGGCACACGCCACCGTCCCCTCTAGCATGGGCCGTGGGATGGAGAAAGAGGTGCTGTCGCCCAGGTCCTTGGGGATCTTATAGACCAAAGAAAAACACAGATTCAACTCCAAGCACTCCAAGCCAAGGAGGACCCCGACCCAAACAGAGCGGGGTACCACGAAACAGGGAGGCGGACGGAACTCCGTTTTGGACGGAGCTGCAGCTGGCGATGGTCACATTTAAATGCATCAACTACTTATAATTTCCTGAGCACATCTGTGCTTTAGGTTGAATAGAGGAAGTGTCAGTGGCTACAAAAGCGTAAGCTTTAGGCCAGGTGAGGTGGCTCACATCTGTAATCCTGGCACTTTGGGAGGCCGAGGCAGTCAGATCACCTGAGGTCAGGAGTTCGAGACCAGCCTGGCCAAAAAGGCGACACTCCATCTCTACTAAAAATACAAATATTAGTGGGGCATGGTGGCATGTGCCTGTAATCCCAGTTAATTGGGAGGCTGAGGTAGGAGAATCGCTTGAACCCGGAAGGCGGAGGTTGCAGTGATTTGAAATCACACCACTGTGCTCCAGGCTAGGTGACAGAGTGAGGCTCCATCTCAAAAAAAATAAAAATAAAAAGGCTTTAAAATGGAGTCACCCTGTGGCCCCGAGCCTCCAATGCCAGGCATCAAGCCCGGAGACACGAACGCACATGCACACAGGAATCTGCACGTGTGCACTCAGAGCAGCACGATTCACAATTGCTAAAAGCTCCATCAATGAATGAATGGACTGACAAGATGTGGCCTCTGCCCAGTGGAACATGATTCAGCTAGGAAGAGAAACAAGGCTCTGGAACAGGCCACGGCGTGGGCACACCGAGGACAGCACGCTCAGCGAAAGCAGCCAGACACAAAAGGCCACACGGTGTGCTATATCATTTCTATGAAATGTCCAGAACAGGCCCATCCACAGAGACAGGAGGAGTGGCATGGGTGCCGGGGCTGGGAGCAGGGCAGATGGAGTGTGGCCACTGCAGGGTATAAAGTTTCTCTCTGGGATTAGGAAAATACTCTAAAATCAAAGAATGATGACACTTGGACAACTCTGTGATTTTATTTTATTTTATTTTATTTTGAGACAGAGTTTCGCACTTGTTACCCAGGCTGGAGTGCAATAGCGCGATCTCGGCTCACCGCAACCTCCGCCTCCTGGGTTCAGGCAATTCTCCTGCCTCAGCCTCCCGAGTAGCTGGGATTACAGGCATGCACCACCATGCTCAGCTAATTTTTTGTATTTTTAGTAAAGACGGGGTTTCACCATGTTGACCAGGATGGTCTCGATTTCTTGACCTTGTGATCCACCCGCCTCAGCCTCCCAAAGTGCTGGGATTACAGGCTTGAGCCACCACGCCCGGCCTTGTGATTTTATTAAAAACCCCTGAGGTCTATGCTTTAGATGGGTGAACTGTATGTTACAATAACCACATCTTAATGGAGCAGTTTAAAAAAACGAATTAGCAGCTGGGTATAGTGGCTCACGCATGTAATCCCAGGACTTTGGGAGGCCGAGGTGGGTGGATCAGGAGGTCAGGAGTTCAAGACCAGCCTGGCAAACATGGTAAAACCCCATCTCTACTAAAAATACAAAAATTAGCAGGGCACAGTAGCAGGAACCTGTAATCCCAGCTACTCTGGAGGCTGAGACAGGACAGTTGCTTGAACCAAGGTGGCAGAGGCTGCCGTAAGCCAAGATCGAGCCACTGTACTCCAGCTTGGGCGACAGAGTAAAACTCTGTCTAAAAAAAAATAAATAAAAATAAAAAATAAAAAAAAATTAGCCAGGCACAGTAGCACACACCTGTGCTCCCAGCTACTGGGAAGGCTGAGGCAGGTGGATCGCTTGAGCCTGGGAGATGAAGGCTGCAGTGAGCCATAATCACCCACTGCACTCCAGCAGCCTGAGTGGCAGAGCAAGACCCTGTCTCAGAAAAACAACAAAAAAGCCTGTAGTGGGGCAGCTCTGGGCCAGGCCTGACGCTGGTGCTAAAGAGAATAAAGAAAACTGCCCTCTCGGGATTTACAGGCGACCGATTAGACAAGCGACTGCCGGGGCGCTGGGTGTGACAACAGTGTTAGTGCCGTGCAGGGACTAATCCAGGCAGCTGGCATGGGGACAGGGGGAGCAGGAAGGGCTCCTGAGTGAAGTGGACTTAATCTGTGATCAGAGAGAAGCTGGGCATTCAGCAGAGCACAGGGAGAGGGGTGCCAGGGGCCGGCTGGGGAGGCCCTGGCTGGGGAAGCGTGCCAGGCATGACGAGGCCGCATGTCCATGCACAGATGTGGCAGATGCTGGGTGTCCTGAGGGCCGTGGAGAGGCTCGGAGGGGAGCACCACCGCCAGTGTCAGTTTCCTTTAATGTTGCCTCTCGCCACCCCATGGAGGAGGAAAGGAAAGGCTGCAGGAGGGGAAGGCAGGGCATGGGGAGGGGGAAATGATGCCTGGCACTGCTCGGTACCATGAGCGGGAACTGGTGCCACCTGCGCCTGGTGAGACTCCTGCCGGAAAGACAAGGGGCCACCACATGGTTGAGGAGGGGAAACCGAGGCCATGCCAGGATCTAAGCCACCTGTCAGAGCAAGAGTGAGCAGGAGGAAGGTCAGGACTCCAGGGGGGCTGCAGGTGCTGCAGGCTCAGGGTGCTTCCTGCTTCCAGCCCCCAGCATGCCAACCTAGACAGCAAACCCCCGGGAGGCCACATGGCATAGGCTGCGGAGGCCAACCTCTCCCAGGGATGCCCTGGGAACACACGAGAAGCCCTGGGATTGAACTCAAGAATTTTTTTTTTTTTTTTGAGATAGAGTCTCACTTTGTCACCAGGTGCCAGGCTGGAATGCAGTGGCACAATCTCGGCTCACTGCAACCTCCACCTCCCGGGTTCAAGCAATTCTTCTGCCTCAGCCTCCCGAGTAGCTGGGACTACAGGTGCACACCACCATGCCAGGCTAATTTTTGTACTGTATTTTTAGTAGAGACGAGGTTTCACCATGTTGGCCAGGATGGTCTCAATCTCTTGACCTCCTGATCCACCCGCCTTGGCCTCCCAAAGTGCTGGGATTCCAGGCTTGAGCCACCGTGCCTGGCCAAGGATTCTTGATGGTTCTCATCAAAAAGGCCTTTTGCTAGATGGAAGGGTGGGAGCTGCCTCACTCAGAGTTCCCTGCAGAGACTCTCTGGGTTCCTTGGACAGACAGGTACACTGTCAGCCTCCCGCAGAGCTCTGGAAGCAGTCTCCCTAACCCATGTCACCAGGCACCTCACTCCTCACCATGAGCACAGGGAGAGGAGGAGGATCAGGCTGAGTGAGGACGCCCCAGGTCATGAGGTCACTCAGCAGGCAGAAGCCACAGGGGCCAAGTTGAGTCATTCAGAGGGAAAACAAATACCCGCCCTCCCAGGACAGGGAAAGAGGTCAGACAGGGGTCAGGTTTCAAGGCTGTCGCCTCTGGGAGAGGTGGAGAGGCTGGAGAGGCGTGCTGTTTAGACACGCTGTCTCATGTCGGGAGCTCAGATGACACAACCGGAGTCCTCTGAATGGACGAGGCTGTGAGGCAGAGCAGGGCCCGGGCGGGACTGCCTCTCTTCGACACCTCCAGTGACCAGCCCCTGCCAGATGCCTCCACCCAGGCATCGGTTTTGCCACCGTGGCCAGCCTGGGGGCAGGTGACACTGCCCTGTGCTCAGGGGCAGGTGCTAGTGACACTTGGTGCCAGGTTCTGAACGGGCTCTGTGGGCTGGGTTGCTCCTGCCTGCTGCACACGTCCCTTGGCACCCGCAACCCATGCCCACACCCTACCTGGAGCTTACCTGTGTAGGTGACCTCCACGTCGGCCAGTGCCTTGAGCGTGCTCTCGTAGGATACGTCCTCGAATGCCTGGGCGCCCACCTGGTCATACACGCGCTTGGTCTGCTCAATGAGCTCCCGGGCACGCTCCTCTATCTGCTGGGCGCTCAGATCCCATCGAAGGTAGTTCCCCACGGAGCACGGAGATGGCGCGTCTGCCATGTCTCCCGCACACGCTGCAGAGAAAACAAAACCCAGTGCCGGGCGGGTCTGCTTTAGGTTCAGAGTTAGGGTCGAAGTCAGGGGGGCAGAGGAGAGGCTTCCCGTCCAGGACAGTGAGGTCCAGGGCTCTTGTGGGGAAGCACGAACTGACCAGTCCTTCAGAACAGTAGGCGTTTCTGTCACCCACCCTGTCCAGGGGACCCTGGCTAACATCTAGAACACCTGTGGCTGTCGAGACCGCAGGTGCTCCTGGCGTGGAGTAGGTGGAGGCCAGGGATCCTGCTCAGTGCCCAAGATGGCCCCGGCAGAGAACAATCCAGCCCCAGAAAGAGATGCTGCTGCTGTTAAAAGCCCCCCTGCCCTAGAGGGGAGACATCACGCACAGATCAGCTGGCACAGACCCCTGGGTGTCCACAAAAGGGGAAGTCTAGGCCCACCCACGCACTGCTTAACTCCTGCCACACCAGAGGGGAAAACAGGTAAAGTGCGGGTTGCCGGGAAGATCCCCTTCTTCCATCTGCTTTTTCTATACCCTACACCCTGTGGGGAGAACACACAGGCCTCCATTCTTCAACTCAACAACAAAGTCAGCCTGGGATGTGGCTGTGCCGGACCCATGGGTGCTGGGGCGAGTCATGTGTGGCCTGGCCATCCCCTCCAGGGCCTCTGAGAAACGGGTGTGTAAGTGCAGCCGGAAAAGAAGACTGGCAGGCGGGGCAGCAAGAGCAGCTGCGGGACGGGCGACTACCTGGAGAAAGTCAGCGCAGCTCAGCACAGAGAAGGTGGCAGAACCGCTTGGAAAGACCTCATTGTGCAGGACCCAGTGGGGTCTACATGGAGTGGACAGAGGGCAGCAAATGGTTCTGCAAAGGGCCAAGGAGTTTCAGCTTTGCGGGCCACATACGGTCTCTGTCTCACCCCAAAACCATCTTTAGTTCCAGGGCTGTGCAAAAATAGGCAGGCCAACTGGGTGCGGTGGCTCATGTCTGTAATCCCAGCGATTTGGGAGGCCGAGGTGGGCAGATCCCCTAAGGCTGGGAGTTCGAGACTAGCCTGGGCAACATGGAAAAACCCCGTGTCTACTAAAAATACAAAATTAGCCGGGCGCAGTGGCTCACGCCTGTAATCCCAGCACTTTGGGAGGCCGAGGCGGGTGGATCACGAGGTCAAGAGATCGAGACCATCCTGGTCAAAATGGTGAAACCCCGTCTCTACTAAAAATACAAAAAATTAGCTGGGCATGTTGGCGCATGCCTGTAATCCCAGCTACTCAGGAGGCTGAGGCAGGAGAATAGCCTGAACCCAGGAGGCGGAGGTTGCGGTGAGCCGAGATCGCGCCATTGCACTCCAGCCTGGGTAACAAGAGCGAAACTCCGTCTCAAAAGAAAAAGAAAAAAGAAAAAAAAAGAAAAAAAAGAAAAAAAAAAAAAAATAAAAATAAAAATTAGCTAGGCGTGGTGGTACACGCCTGTAATCCCAGCTACTCAGGAGGCTGAGGCAGGTGAATCATTTGAAACTGGGAGGCAGAGGTTGCAGTGAGACGAGATCACACCACTGCACTCCAGCCTGGGCAACAAGAGCGAAAGACCATTTTCCAAAAAAAAAATAAAAAATAAAAAAGAGTCCAGAGTTTGCCAACCCCTGGTGTAGATGACAACAGAGGCTTTGAACTTCAGTCCTGAATGCAAGCTAGGGCCCTGGAGAGGGACAGGAAGGGGGTGGGACAGTGGCACTAACAATCAGACGTGCATTTTCACAAAGCCTGGGGGAGGGGGGACCCAAGAGGCTAGCTCAGATCCCAGAGGCTGAAGTCAGGCAGCCCAGGTTCGGACCCCGCCTCTGCCACTTGCTAGCTCTGGGATTCTGGCAAGAAATGTTAACTCTCAGGCTTTCTGCCTGTGAAATGGGAACAATACAGGGCACAGAGAAGGAGAACTGTGAGGAATGAGGCAAAGCATCTTGCATCCTGAACATCACAAGACACTTTTCCAGAGGTAGCTGTAAAGCTGACAGACCATGCTCTCCCGCCCAAAAACTCTTGGGGCTGGGACATCTGAACATCCGGAATTTCCTCCCACTGTAGAAAGGTAATAGAGTCCAAGTGCCATGTACTCCATGTCACTAGGGAGGCTGGGGCAGCACTCTATCAAATGACTTTCTGCAGTGAAACTCAGGAATATGCACCAGGGTCTCTCCCCGTCCGCTCCGTGGCTGTGGGGGCCGGATCGTTCTCTGGGGTGGAGCTGTCCTGAGCACCATAGGGCGCTGAGCACCCCTGACCTCTACCCCCTCCATAACAGGAGTGCCCCCCGCAACTGTGACAACCACAAGTGTCCCTAGATACTGCCCAGTGTCCCCTGAGGTAGCACAATTGCCCCAGCAGAGAATCACTGAGATTCACTAAGTGGGAAAAAGAAAGGCTCTCAGTCGGTCAGTTTAGGTCATTTTCTAATGACCTAATGACATTGCTTTGAACTTCAGGCAAACCTTTCAGTTCACAGAGTATTTAGGATTTGAGAACTGCAAATAAAGGTCCACGGATCTACCTTAAACGGAGGGGTAAAGAAGAGCTTCGGGGTCCCGGGAAGGGTGGAGATGAATGGGAACTGGAATTGCCAGAAAATTCTCCTGCAGGAGTTGTGATTTGAAAAGCATGTGGACGCCGTTCGTCCCGGAAATATTTACTGATGGTGCCAATGTTCCAGTAGCAAACGAGGCAGACAACATTCCTTCCTTCTTGAAGATCCCTGAGGCCTGAAGATCCCTAATTATCATTATTACAATTATCACCCTCACGGCAATGGGCAGGACAAAGAGCTGGGGAGTGTGGCCTGGAAAGAGAAAAGTCAAGGATGGAGCAAGGAGTTGCCTCACAACAACCTGAGTGACTTTCTAAAATCCAGGCTAGGCACGGTGGCTCATGCCTGTAATCCCAGCACTTTGGGAGGCCAAGGCGTGCGGATCACCTGAGGTCAGGCGTTTGAGACCAACCTGGCCAACGTGATAAGACCGCCATCTCTGCAAATAATACAAAAATTAGCCAGGTGTGGTGGCGGGCACCTGTGATCCCAGCTACTTGGGAGGCTGAGGAAGGAGAATCGCTTGAACCCGGGAGGCGGAGGCTGCAGTCAGCAGAGATAGCACCACTGCATCCCAGCCTGGGAGACAGAGCCAGACTGTCTCAAAAATAAATAAACAAATAAATTTTAAAAACCGTACACAGGTCCCATTGCCCCTTAGTCTTTAAATTAAAAGGGTCTTGGCTGGGTACAGTGGCTCATGTCTGTAACCCCAGCACTTTGGGAGGCCGAGGCAGGTGGATTGCTTGAAACCAGGAAGTTCAAGACCAGCTTGGGGAACATGGTGAAACCTCCTCTCTACCAAAAAAAAAAAAAAAAAAAACGTTCCTGCCTCCACGCCTCTGGCCTGGTGGTTCCCTCCTCCCGGGACTCCTCCTTCCCCGATCCTGGGAGGACACCTGCTTTTCCCCATCAAGTCTAGGCTCACCTCTTCAGAAACGCGCCCCCCGCCCCCAGGACCACCCTCTCTCTAAAGACGTCCGCCTCCCTGGGACTGCTCCGTTCGTGTTGATCTGCTCCGGAGCCCCGATTCCCCATCTTCGATCCCCTCTTGCTTATTTACTTGTTGAATGTCCGTTTCTGGCACTAGAATAACGGGAAAACGGAGACCGTTTTCCAAGTCACGGCCTCCCCAGGGTCGGCCACGGGGCCCGACCCCGTCCTGAGCGGAAGCGCCATCAAGTTTGCCGAATGAATGAAACGCCGGAAAAGCTGGTTCATTCATTCGGCAAACGAGAGAGCCGGGTCGCCCACTCTCCCGCCGCCCCTCCAGCCCGGCCGAGGGGGGATCGGGGGGGTCACTCGGCTCCAGCTTTAGGCCCAAGTCGCGACCCCGGGAGGAGCGAAGGTGCAGGGGACGCCCGGGTCCGGCGAGCGGGGCCGCACCGAGGGGTAGGCTTTACCTGCGGGGGGCTTCATTGCGGGCGGGTCTGCGCCTGCGGTCCCCTTCCTCTTTCCACCGGCTATGCGTCCAGTCACCTCGGCCGCGCGGCCGCCTCCCTCGGCCCAACCGCCGCCACCGCGGCCCGAACACCCAGGCGCCCACCGCCCGCGCGCCAGATGCATGCCGGGGCGGCGCGTGCACTTGGAGCGGGACAGGCGCGGGCCGGGGCGCTGACGCTCCCTTCCCGTCACTGGCTCTCTAGGCGGGTGGGCGGAGCCTCTCGCTGACCCCTCCCCAATGACGGTTTCCTTGGAAACCTCACGCCGCTGAAGCCTCCGAGGCTCTGTCCGCGCTGCTCATTCTGCTGAGACTTCACCTGGGTTCCGGACTACCGTGTTACTGGGTCCTTGCCTCCCTGCTTATAGCTCTATGTTGGGCTAGTGTTGTTATTGATCGCTTACTGTTTCCCGGGCCCAGTTTCCAGCATCTGAATCAGACATATCAAATTAACCAGAAGTTTCTCTTTCTCCTTTTTTTTTTTTTTTTTTTTTTTGAGACGGAGTCTCGCTCTGTCGCCCAGGCTGCAGTGCAGTGGCGCGATCTCGGCTCACGGCAACCTCCGCCTCCCAGGTTCAAGCAGTTATCCTGTCTCAGCATCCCGAGTAGCGCGCACCGCCACGCTGGGCTCATTTTTGTATATCTTTTTCTTGTTTATTTATTTTTATTATTTTGATTTTTTTTTTTTTTTTTTTTTTTTTTTTTTTTTGAGACGGAGTTTCACTCTTGTTACCCACGCTGGAGTGCAATGGCCCGATCTCGGCTCACCACAACCTCCGCCTCCTGGGTTCAGGCAATTCTCCTGCCTCAGCCTCCTGAGTAGCTGGGATTACAGGCACGTGCCACCATGCCCAGCTAATTTTTTTATATTTTTAGTAGAGACGGGGTTTCACCATGTTGACCATGTCTTGATCTCTTAACCTCGTGATCCACCTAGCCTCGGCCTCCCAACGTGCTGGGATTACAAGCTTGAGCCCCCGCGCCTGGCCTTATTTTGGTATTTCTAATAGAGACTGGGTTTCACCACGTTGGCCAGGATGATTTTGATCTCCTGACCTCCTGATCCGCCCACCTCAGCCTCCCAAAGTGTGAGGATTACAGGTGTGAGCCGCCGCGCCTGGCCAAGTGTTTTTTTGTTTTTGTTTTTGTTTTTTTTTTTTTCTAGTTAGAAACATAAGCAAGTAAACGGATTCATGTCAAATAACAGGTGTTTTGGAACTGTGCAGTAGCCTGACCTACATCCAGTGTTGTGGGTTAAAACAAAAAACGTCTTGAACCCTCATCTTGAACTGTTAGGGCACCTAGAAAAAAACGATGTACTGGAATGAAACTGGCAAAAACCCAAACAACCGACCTCCTTTCTGTTTTTTTGTTGTTTGTTTTTTGAGGGCCTGGACGGAGTCTTGCTCTGTCCCCCAGGCTGCAGCAAAGTAGAGTGATCTCGGCTCACTGCAACCTCCGCTGTTGAGAAACGCTAAGTGTATGATTGCTGAGAAATGCTGAATGTATGATAAAATATATTGTTTGCTGAGAAGAACCATGGCAAGGAAAACCTAGTTCCCTCCCCCCTGCCCCCCCCACCCCGCCAACAGGAAAACTACTTGGGGCATTCTAAAGTGGCAGGACAATATATAATATAAAAATATTATGCACCGGTTAAAACAGTCCTTTAAGTGTGGGACATCTGACCCTGTCCCATGGCTCTCTCATGGAGAATACTTTTTAGTTTGTGATCAGTGGTAAGTGGTCACCAGCTGCCTATGTGGTAAATTTTTGTGTTATGAGAAAACACCAAACATCAGTTTATTAATCACCTATTCAGAGAGAATAACTGTGTGGGTCAGAGTCTGCTTGAGGCCCTCAGCCCGGAATGCTGTGAGCCCTTGAGGCTCTCAGCTGGGAAAGCTGTTGGCTCCTGGATAGACCCACTTTGCTGTTCTATCTGGCAGTCTGCTTCTTAATTCCTTCAGCGCCATCTGGCTGGGGGTCTTTACGGCTGAGGTGGTCTTGGTATGCTGCCTCTCGGGTTCAAGCAATTCTCCTGCCTCAGCCTCCTGAGTAGCTGGGACTACAGATGCCTGCAGCAGGCACGGCTAATTTTAGTGTTTTTAGTGGAGACAGGGTTTCACCATGTTGGCCAGGCTAGTCTCAAACTCCTGACCTCAAGTGATCTGCCTGCCTCAGTCTCCCAGACTGCTGGGATTATAGGCCACCACGCCTGATCACCCTACCTGGGTGACCTTGCCCAGCCACCACGTCTGGCCTCACCTCCTTTATTTCTGCAAAAGAAATTCAAATAATCCATTCCATTAATTGTGCGTGTATTTCAAGTAGAAAGAAAATGAATTGGGAGAATATTGGATACAATGAGTTCTAAATCTCTCTTCAAAGCATCAGTATGTCGGCCAGGCAAGGTGGCTCATGCCTTAATCCCAGCACTTTGGGAGGCCAAGGCGGGAAGATCACCTGAGGTCAGGAGTTCGAGACCAGCCTGGCCAACATGGAGAAACCGCGTCTCTACTAAAACTACAAAAAAAAAAAAAAAAAAAAAAAAAAAAAAAAAAAAAGAATCGGTATGTTATTATGTTCAGTTATTTGTCCTTCATTTTACAGTTTAACTTCCTTGCAGTTTCAGTACATAATCTTATCCACCAGTTCTAATCAGTAGTTAACATCTGTTTCCCCTTCCCAGCCCCTGACACCGTCCTGACTCATCCTGGTCATCTGCTTCAGTCACCTGCTCCAGTCACCTCCTCCAGTTGAGGAGGGAGACCCAGGCATTTGGGATTTCCTCCCCCTCTGTCATCCACTGGGCATCTCAATAGAAGAGAGAGCAGGCCAGCTGGCACCTCCTGAATCTCCTTCCTGAATAACACGCTTGGTCTTGGGGAACTCTCTGGAAGACACTATTTTTACTTAAAACAAGAACAAACCAGAAACCTTTTCATATGTGAGTCCTCAAACTGTAAACTGGAACCCTTTCATATGTGATTCCTAAAGCTATAAACCTAAGATTCTTCCCCGTGTAATATCTAAAGTATAAGCCTATATACAGGCAGAACCTTCCTTTGTTAGATGAGCTGGGCTTTCGTCAAATTACTGCCTGGTCTCCCAACAAAATAAACTCTTCCCTCCTTTATTCGGTGTTCGAGAGATCCATTTCCCACAGCCGTTCCGGCTATACAGTCACCTTCTTTGACCTAGGTCACTCCTGGCTACCTGCTCTGACCTGCCTGTAATGGTCCATCCCACCAAACCACCCACCCTGCCACTCCAGCTCGGACCCCTGTTCTCTTTAAAATAGCCAATCAGAATTAGTCTAGCTTGTGCGATCTAACTCTAGCCTATAGGGGAATGACACAGCAGTAGGGGCGACCCCCATCAGGCATAAGTACCCCTTTTTCTCACTTGCCCAAATATGTGGTCACCATCTTCATCAGTGAGCTGCACCCTTCTATAGAAATAAACTGCCTTGCTGAGAGGATTTATCTTCCAGTGCTATTTCTTTTGCAGCATCAAAATTTTACCTGTAACAGAGAACATTTCTGGCAACTATAACTCAGATGGTGATAAGTTTTCCATTGTCCTAGGAAATTTCTCATCACTTTGTCTCTATTTATTTTTGGGGTGGGGGGGTGGTGTCTTGAGTACACCAAGCTTAATTTTATGTCAGCCTTCATTTTCGCTGTTCCCTGTGCCTGGGGTACTTTAAGTTTGGACTTTCCTATCTTTGAAATCCAAATCTAAAGGATGATCTTTCCTACCTATCCTAGCTCCCAGTCACAATCACAGAACCTTCATTTTTTTTTTTTTTGGCAGTGTTTGCTGTGAAATTTCTTGTTTCTCTATTTATGTACTAGTTTATTAGTTGATAGTCCGTCTACACCAATGCAAGATAATCAGTATAGACACTTTGCTGATTTTTATTGCTGGTTTGTAATAAATATTGATTAGGCACCTACTGTCTACAAATGTCTCTATTCTCACAGACGTCTCATAGATTGACTGAAAGAATGCATTTGTGGGTGAGCAGATGGGTGGGTAAATAAATGAACAAAGACAGGGAGCGGATAACAGTGACTCCCATTCATTGCTCGGCTGTGACGCTCCGAGGTCCAGGTGTCCAAACGCGGCTGCACCACGTGGCCGGCCCAGCACCACGTGGTCAGTCCGGCGACTGGCTGGAGTCCGCCACTGTCCCACCAAGCACCGCTCCATGCTGGCTTTAGAGGGCTAGTGAGACCCGATTTCCGGCTTCCGTTAGGTCGTAGAGGTCAGTTGCCCTAACGACCCGCTGGTTCCCGCCTCTACGTTGCGTCACTTCCTGTCACGCCCACTTAGAGCAATAATGCACCTGCGCAGAAGGGAAGCAACCCCGGACGCCGTTGTTCTGCGCAGGCGTGGCGCCCTGGGGCCGGGGCCGGGCGGCACCGCGGTGCGCAAGCGCAGCCGTCGGTGGGTCGGGGATCGGTAGCCTGAGAGGTGAGTAAGGGGCTCCGTGCTGAGCCTGGGGGATCTGGGCTCTGCGGCTCGGGGCTCACAGGGCCCCAGAGCCCGTAAGAGGTTGAGGATTGTGAGGTCAGGGTCACCGCGACTCGCGGGGTCCTGTGAGTAGGTGGCGCGGAGGGGAAACTGAGGCTGGGAGGCATCGGGCAGGCCGTTGGAGCCCTGATCTCCCTGCCCCGGACCCCAGGTCCTGGAAATGCTGGTCCGCGGGCTGGTGTCGAGGTCGGCGGGAGGTGAAGGCGCCCCGCAGTAAGTGAGCGCTCGCTGGGTGTTCGCTGCCGTCTCGTTCTTATTAACCGCCTGGAAACGTCATTGCTGTGACTCGGGGACCCCCGTTTGTGGTGACTCAAGTCGGCAGTCTAGTCCCAGCGCCGCCAGTCCCTACCTGGGTGACCTTACCCAGCCTGTTGGCTTTTCGGAGCCTCAGTTACCCCTCTGTAAAACGGACGTTGTCAAAAGTCCCTGCCTGGGAAATGAGAGCCCCGGGGCCCCGCGCAACGTGAGAACCCCGAAGAATTGGCAGCCGTTCGTCTTATTTCATGTTCTAGAGTCGTCTTCTGCCTATCTTGCTAGAGGTTGGGGAAATCTGGGATAAGCGACCAGCCCACCAACACGTCTTACCCGCGTGTAAACCTGGATGAGTCGCCTCCCCTCTGAGCAAAGCGTTCCTTCTTTCGTAAACAGGAGTGGTAAAAGCAGATGTGTCGGAGGGTCATTATGAGGGTAAACCCACGTACAATTCTCCTAGAACTTGGTAAGAGAGAGCTGGCTTGAGAACGGCTGTTTTGTTATTAGGTGCCAGAAAATTGCCGTGCAGTGAGTCTGCAGCTCGGAGGTTGAATGATTATCCCATTTTCTTTTGTTTCTGTGTCTTTTTTTTTTTTTTTTTGAGACGGAGTCATATTCTGTCGCCCAGACTGGAGTTTAGTGGCGTCATCTCGGCTCACTCCAATCTCCACCTCCTGGTTTCAAGCGATTCTCCTGCCTCAGCCTCCCCAGTAGCTGGGACTACAGGCGCGCACCACCATGCCTGGCTAATTTTTTTGTATTTTTAGTAGAGTCGGGGTTTCACCATGTTGGCCAGGCTGGTGTCCAACTCTTGACCTCATGATCCGTCTGCCTAAGCCTCCCAAAGTGCTGGGATTACAGGTGTGAGCCACCATGCCCGTCCTACAACAACATTTTTCAAAAACTGTTAAAAATGACAAAGGCAAATAGAGAACTATGACAGCAGGAAGGGAAGGAACACCTGGGGATCCCTGGGCTCCTGGACACTCGTTTGCTTTTCTGGTTTTTGGTTTTTTGTTTTTGTTTTTGTTTTTGCTTTGTTTTGTTTTGAGACAGAGCCTTGCTCTGTTGCAATGGCGTGATCTCAGCTCACTTCACTTCTGGGGTTCAAGCAATTGTCTTGTGTTATCCTCTCGAATAGCTGGGATTACAGGCATGCACCACCATGCCTGGCTAATTTTTGTATTCTTAGTAGAGAAGGGGTTTCACCGTGTTGGTCAGGCTGGTCTCGTGATCCACCCGCTTCGGCCTCCCACAGTGCTGGGATTACAGGTGTGAGCCACCGCACCTTGCCTTGTTTCTGTCTCTGATTATTCGTTTTGTCTGTTTTTTCCCTCCCTTGACCAGTGGTTCTCAATCAGGAACACTTCTATGCCCCGGGGACACTTGGTGACATTGTGGTTGTCATGATTTGGGGGACCTCCTGGTATGGAGTAGGTAGAGGCCAGAGATGCTGGTCACCAGCCAGCAGTGCCTAGGATGGCCCCACCCCAGAGAATAATCCAGCCTTGAATGTCAATAATGCTTTTAAAACTTTACCATATGGGCGGATCACCTGAGGTCAGGAGTTCGAGACCAGCCTGGCCAGTGTGGGGAAACCTCGTCTCTACTGAAAAAACAAAAATTAGCCAGGTGTGGTGGCACACGCCTGTCATGCCAGCTACTCAGGAGGCTGAGGCAGGAGAATCCCTTGAACCCAGGAGGCTGAGGTTGCAGTGAGCCAAGATCACGCCACTGCACTCCAGCCTGGGTGACAGAGTAAGACCCTGTCAAAAATCAAAACCCTATCCTAGATCAGCGATTCTTCACCAGCACGGGCAGCTGGGAGTGTGTGGCTCCATGAAATCGTGAGCAAAGTTGTGTGTGTGCACCCAATTTTGTGCGGTGAGGAATGGGTACTTTGGAGTTTAGTCTCTCAAGTCAGACTGCCTAGGTTCAGAAATCCTCCTTTTCATCCTCATAGCTGGGGGGGTCTTGGGTGGCCCCATCTTTCCAAGCCTCAGTTTTTCTTCTGTAGAATGGGGATCATAATAGTAATCACCTCAGGTGTGTGAGCATTAAACCAGGCAGGGTATCGGCAAACTGACCCGAAGACCAAATCCACCTGTGGCCTGGTTTTGCGAATGAGGTTTCGTGGGAACGCAGCCACACTCCTTTGTTTCCGTGCTAGCTGTGGTTGATTTCGAGCTAAGAAGCCACAGTGGAACAGTTGCCGTAGAGAACATAACGCCTGCAGAGCTGAAGACGTTTTTCTTCTGGCCCTTTTCAGGAAAACCTTTGCTGACCCCTCAAATAAGGCATCGCATATACAGCACTTAGCTGGGTGCCTGGAAAGCTGTGAGCGTGCCAAGGATTTGAGCTGCAGTTTATAATTAAATCTTCCTAGAAGGGTGAATGATTCCAGATGGGGGTGAGCTCTGCCCCAGATTGGAGAATCCCTGAGAGCTGTAGTCACTTGATTCTACTGTATTTTTTTTTTTTTTTTTTTTTTTCCGAAGATGCAGTCTCACTCTGTCGCCTGGCTGGAGTGCAGTGGTGTGATCTTGGCTCACTGCAGCCTCCCCCTCCCGGGTTCAAGGTGTTCTGCCTCAGCCTCCCAAGTAGCTGGGACTACAGGCACACGCCACCACGCCCGGCTAATTTTTTGTATTTTAGTAGAGACAGGGTTTCACCATATTACCCAGGCTGGTCTCGAACTCCTGAGCTCAGGCAATCTGCCCGCCGCGGCCTCCCAAAGTGCTGGGATTGCAGGCGTGAGCCACCGAGGCAACCTGTTTTGGTTTGTTTTACCAGTGTCCAACAGGGGCCCTGGTAGAAAGTCCTCAGTACAGGCTTAAGGAGTCAGAGGGATGGTTTGGGATAGGGTCTTGCCCCACCGCCCAGGCTGGAGTGCAGTGGCACAATCTCCGCTCACTGCAGCCTCAACCTCCTGGGCTCAGGCCATCCCACCTCAGCTTCCCGAGTAGCTGGGACTACAGGTCTGCACTACCACACCCGGCTCATTTTTGTATTTTGTTGTTTTCAAGATAGGGGTTCACCATGTTGCCCAGGCTGGTCTCAAACTCCTGGATTCGAGGGATCATCCACCTTGGCCTCCAAAGTTCTGTGATGAGAGGCGTGCCCCACCACATCGGGCCTGTTTTCTCTTTCGCTGAGGTGGAAACAGGCCCAGAGAGAAATGACCTCCCCAAGGGACTTGCCCATAGCTGTGAATTTTTTCAACAATTGAAGGCTTTCCTGAGTCCATAGGGTTTGGACGCCACCAGGTGCAGGGGTTAAAAGGGCAAATGGGTCTGTGGAAAGACAGAAAGCCTCAAAAGAGATGCCGGGCCCGACGTAGGAGCTTGCAAGAATACTGGATTCTCTCCTGGCAGAGTTGGGGAGGGGAGGTGAGCGCCTAATTTGAGTGGCGCGTACAGGGTTTGGTGTCGCCCCAGAGACGACCCCCCACTGGTGAGGGGCCTCTAACGTACACTTCTGGGGGTGCAGGGAGCAGTTGAGGGCTTTTATGCATGCGGTGACCTCCTGGTGGCATCTTGGAAGAAAGGGGGCTTCAATGTGGGGAGTATCCGGATGGGAGACTGAGCTAGAACCCAGGTATCCTAGGAGGGAGTGAGGACTGGGGCGCCCAGCCTTCCTGCCCTGCTGTTTATGAGAAGTGTTGTGGATTTGGGGTGGAGGTGGGCAGAGTGCTCCCAGAAGGCAGTGGGCCAGAGTGGGGCTTCTTTTTTTTTTTTTTTTTTGAGACGGAGTTTTCGCTCTCGTTGCCCAGGCTGGAGTGCAATGGCGCGATCTCGGCTCACCGCAACCTCCGCCTCCTGGGTTCAGGCAATTCTCCTGCCTCAGCCTCCCGAGTAGCTGGGATTACAGGCACACGCCACCATGCCCAGCTAATTTTCAGTATTTTTAGTAGAGACGGGGTTTCACCATGTTGACCAGGATGGTCTCGAACTCTTGACCTCGTGATCCACCCGCCTCGGCCTCCCAAAGTGCTGGGATTACAGGCTTGAGCCACCGCGCCCGGCCCAGAGTGGGGCTTCTTACTGGGGTGTAACGAAGTAGGAGGACCTCAGTTTAGGGGGACGTTCTGTTTTTTCCATTGAATGATTCATTCTGGGCGGGGAAATAAGGAAGAGAGGTTGTGAGTTTTTGGTTTGTTTTTAGAGGCGAGGCCTCACTTTGTCACCCAGGTTGGAGTACACAGGCACAATCACAGCTCACTGCAACCTCCAGCTCCTGGGGTCAAATGATCCTCTTACCTCAGCCTCCCGAGTAGCTGGGGCTACTGCTGTGTGCTGCCATGTCAGGCTAATTTCTTTTCCTTCTTTTTTGTTGAGTCTATTATGTAGGATCTTACTATACACTATATTGCCCAGGCTGGTCTTGAACACCTGGCCTCAAGCGGTTCTCCCATCTCAGCCTCCCAAAGTGCTGGGATTACTGGCGTGAGACACTGCCCCTGACCTAGGTAGCTGTGGTTTTTTTTTTTTTTTTTTTTTTTTTGAGACGGAGTTTCGCTCTTGTTACCCGGGCTGGAGTGCAATGGCGCGATCTCGGCTCACCGCAACCTCCGCCTCCTGGGCTCAGGCAATTCTCCTGCCTCAGCCTCCTAAGTAGCTGGGATTACAGGCACGAGCCACCACGCCCAGCTAGTTTTTTGTATTTTTAATAGAGACGGGGTTTCACCA